GTGGTTTCGATGGTAGTGGCTGGTGTTAGTGGTTTCGGTGGTAGTGGTCGTGGTCGTGGGTTTGCTGGGTTGGTGGTGGTGGTGTTAGTGGTGTCGGTGGTGGTGGTGGTCGTGAGTGGTTTCGGTGTTGTTGGTGACTTGGTGGTGGTGGGGGTGGTGGCAGCGTTGCTGTTGGTGGTGGGTTAATTATTTTAATTATTGTTAAATTTGTTTTTTCTTTTTTTTGGGGGGTTGGATTAATAGTTAAGTAAATGCCCTTATTTTCAATAACTACACTTAAGATCTTTTGCCTCGGCCTCCGCAAAGTTGTCCTTTGTTGCGAGTAACCCGAAGCGGAGGTAGTATTTGATTTAATTGTTTTGTTTATTATTTTCCTTAAAGTTACTAACACGTGTATTTTGTTATTAGAAAGAGGTACGAGACATCCAAGTAAGTACTTTAATTATTTAATTGATCTTTTGATATAGAAATCATGCTTAGATTATTATATTAATTCCTAGTATCATGTTAGGGTGTTTTGATCTTCCTATATCATGTTTAGGGTAATAATTAAGTTTCTTATATCAATTATGATCTCTATGATGCTTCCTATTTTCTTTTCTAATATCATGTTAGTATTATGTTAGGGTTAAAGCTTTAATTTTTAATGTTTAGTGACATGCCAGATTGCCAGGGTTTGTTATTAATCTTGTTAGTATCATGCCTAGGATCTTGCTATTATTATTATTATGCTTTAGCGTTGACATGATTATTATTATGATTATTATTATCATGATTATTATGCTTATGGTTAATATTATGTTGCTTGATTATATTTATTGTTATTGCTTGATCACACCTTTTGATGCATGTTTAAAGGGAATTTGTATGTAATCACACTTAATAAGATAATTAATAATCTTATTTAGGGTTAATTTGATTATAATTTAAGTGATCGTCAATAATAGATTTGTTTGTGCATTAAATATTCAACCAACATAGATTAAACAGATTTCGGGTAAACCTATTGATTGCATGATAGTCAAAAAGTGCACATGAATACGAGTAGAGACCTATTTTGTAGGGCGAGTTCTTTCTTTTTTAGATTGGATTCGTACCATCATCCCCGAACATCAGTCATGATTCCAGACCTATTGGAGTTGACGATCTCTTAGATCGTTAAGGGGTGTAACCTTCACCCTGTGAACGTTTTACAAGTTCCTAAAACTTGTTAGCGACTCTTTTGCTCTAGCTTCCTTCCCTTTGGACGCCACAATGCTTAAGTGTATGATTACGGTGGGGTTCAAGTTTGGGGTAATGCTTGAAATATTTCCTACACCTTCTATTTTCCTTTCAAAAATATTCAACTACGAAGTCGAGGGATTTGTTTTATTAAAGGAGAAGGAAAATTGATCTCTACTTTTTCTTTCACTATCCTTCCCCATGTTTTAATCCACACAAGGGAAATTAAATTCTTCCTTTTCCCTTCCCTCTTTTCCCCTTCAAATATTTCTATCCAAAATATAATGTAAGTCTTCAATAATCACAGTGTGTGGTTGGTGCACCAGAGTGAATCATGCGCATGGTGTACCCGGAAAGAACATTAGACATATTTTAAAAATATGGGCGAAAAAATAGAACATTAGACATATTTTAAAGAACATTAGGAATATTTTAAAGAACGTGGGAAAAAACACAATCATGTTCTTTATCAAACATATGTTTTTTTTAACACACCACCTAAGTAACCATGAAAAGAAACATGTTCTTTTTGCAAAGATTTTATGTTCTTTGTAATGTCATGCTATTTGTCAAACACAAACATGCTCTTTTGTCAAACACATGTATGTTCTTTTTCATTTTTTTTTGAAACCACCTGCAGATTAAATTAATAGAGATCAATTTTCGCCAAAATTAGGAGATTGACTTTAAGGAAAAGGACCCAAACAAACAAATTCGTTACAACCTCTAGAGTCCCACCTTGCTACATTGTGAACTAGAGTATTACCCGCACGCTTAACATGAGAAATCGAAAAATAGACAAAACTATTAGAAAGAGCAACAACATCATCAATAACCAAAGAGAAAGGAGTGATAGCACCAGCCTGCTTGTTCACCCCATTTACCACATTTGCAACGTCACTCTCAAGTATGACCGAGGCATACCCCAATCTAGAAGCCAACTAGAGACCGAAACGGAAGGCCGTAGCTTTAGAAACATCACTTGTCCAACCAGCAGGCTCCTTGTGAACAACAACCACCAAAAGCTTCCCATCATCGTCTCGACACACCGCACCCATCCCTGTCGTCATCTTCACTACCCCCGATTGCGATTTTGACCACAAATTTACAGCTGGTTGTATCGGACACCCTGCCCCATAAACACCTTCTGCGCATACTCACCATACTCCACCACATATTTCACGAGGTTAGCTGCAATATTAACCGGACATACGCTGGCATTGTAAAAAATAATCATATTGCGGCACCACCAAACATCCCAAGCTAGTGACACAAATTCTCTCAGCTCACTACTTCTCACCTTGGGCGCCAACCACAGCAATCTGTCGCTAAAACATAAAGCAGGAGCTTGATCAATCAGAGAGAGGGACGTACTAGCATTCTAAATACTACGGGCAGCATTACAATCGAAGAGGGCGTGAATGACATATTCATCCCCATTCCCACATATCAAGCATGATTTATTATCCACCATGTGACGATAATGGAATCTTTCCCACACCGCAAGGAAACCCTTACACGCCGTCCACAAGAAGTGCGACAGTTCGGGAGGCACTTTCACTCCCCATATCAGTTTCCAGACATCATTTAGGGACTGATTTTGCATATTTGATGGGCCTTGCTTAGCCAACCAATACCCCGATCGAACAGAGTATACACCATCTTTACATGGCCACCAATACATCACATCATTAGTAGGACGATAGGATAATGGTATAGATAAAATTGCCGCTTTGTCCACCGCAATAAAATTCTCATTGATCATCTCAACACGCCATATCCTTGCCTCATGGTCAACTAAGTCACTAACACGCAGCTCCATATTATTATGACACAACGGGGACGGTACACAAACTGAAGAGTTACCCGGTAACTAAGCCGAATCCCAAACAGAAATATTACAACCATTCCCAACCCTCCACTTCAACCCATCAAGAAGCAATGATTTTGCACTCTACAAACTTCTCCACGTATAGCTAGGGTCAAACCCTCTACTAGCCTCCAATACATCACAATTTTTAAAGTATTTAGCTATCAATATCAAATGTAGAAGGGTACCTTTATTATGGTGGAGATGCCAACATTGCTTTGCCAATAAAGCTTGGTTGAAACATCGAAGATCACGAAAACCTATCCCTCTAAGATTCTTTGGTTTGCATGACTCTTCCCATTTTTGCCAATGCATCTTTTTCCTAGTCGTCGAAGAGCCCCACCAAAAATGAGCAAGTAGGTAGTGGATTTTATCAATAATACCATCGGGAATCTTCAACATATTCATCATATACGTCGGCATAGCCTGGGCAACCGCTTTGATCAAAACTTCTTTACCGGGAATTGACAACAATTTTTCCTTCCAACCCTGCAATTTTTTTCATAGCCGTTCCTTGAGTCCTGCAAAAATATCTCTCTTTGATCTACCAATTATAGTAGGCAAGCCAAGGTATTTCTCATGTATTTCTACCTCAAGAACCTCCAAAGTCTCCACAATCTCATTCCGACAGTCACTATTAACTTTTTTGCTAAAGGCAACTTCAGTTTTGTTTAAATTAATTTTCTGGCTCGATGCTCTCTCATACATGCAAATAATATTAGTTATCACATAACACTCTTGAGTATTAGCTCTAGCAAAAAGAATACTGTCATCGGCAAAGAATAAATGTGACACCCAGAAAGCACTTCTACAAATTCTGGCACCATAAATACAACCTTCCCTCGCCGCCTTATTAATCAAGCCTGAGAGCGCATCAGCACACAACAAGAATAAATATGGGGAAATCAGATCACCTTGTCGGAGGCCCCTAGTAGGAGTGACCACACCAGCAATCTTCCCATTTATTTTAAAAGAAAATTGAACACTCTGCAAGCAACTCATAATTCTCCCAATCCAATCCATCGAAAACCCCATTTTACACATAACCTTCTCCAGAAAAACCCACTCCACCCTATCATAAGCTTTACTCACATCAAGTTTCAAAGCAATAATTCCATCCTTCCCCTCACCACCCCGTTTCATGGCATGGAAAATTTCGAAAGTCGCAAGAGCATTATCAGAAATAAGACGACCCGGAATAAAAGCACTCTAATTAAGGGAAATCACCTTATCCAAAATAAGCTTCAGCTTATTAGCTACTCTTTTTGACACAATTTTATAAATCACATTGCAATAACTAATAGGTATAAACTCCGAAATTAGAGTTGGGTCATCACACTTCGAGATCAAAACAATGCAAGTATTATTCGCTTCTGATAAATTCGCATCCTCTCTCCACCAACCTTTCACAAAAGCTATGATATCAGGACCAACAATATGCCAAAATTTTTGGAAAAAGAGAGCATGCATACCTTCAGGGCCGGGGGCTTTATTGGGGTGCATTAGGAAAAGAGCAGCTCTGATCTCTTCTACAGTCGGCTCACAAACTAGCATAGTGTTCATTTCATCCGAAACAACCCTTTCAATTCCTCCCAAAGCATCCTGCAACCGTGTCAGAGAACTCGTCGCAAAGAGATTTGAAAAGTATGCAGAAATCAACCTCTCTAGATCAACTCGTTTTTCGAACCATTCTCCATTCTCATAAAAAAGACCCTTAATTCTGTTTTGAGCTTTCCTCTGACTTGCCTTATGATGGAAGTATTTTGTATTTTTATCTCCATCCCGGAGCTCATTGGCCCTTGCTCTCGCATACCAGTACGACTCCTCTAATCTATATAAAGACTCGAGCTCCATAGACAACGAATTGCACTCCTCCAATTTAGCACCATCCATCACACCCAATTTCAACTCACGCATTTTTTTCCTCCCCCTCCTTAATTCGCTTCTTCACGGAGCCAAAAGTAAGAGCCGCCCATGAAGCAAGTTTATCACCACATACTGCCATTCTTCTCCCCATATCTAACCCAAAACTATCCTCCCAACCTTTTGCCACAACTTCACTATATTCCTCACGCGACAACCATAAGGACTTAAATTTGAAAGTTGAGCCACTGCTGTGTCTATCATTTATCTTCTCAGTTGACAGTATTATTTGAGCATGGTCGGAATTTGATTTGAAAATCGGCATATTACAGACTTTAAAATCCAGGAAAAGATTACACCACTCATCATCAACCACAAATCTATCCAGCCTTTCACGAACGAATGTAGTAATGGAATTTCCCCTTTCCCATGTGAACACACTTCCCTTGAACCCCAAATCTCTGATATCACAATTATCCATAGCCTCCCTAAAAGAATCAATGAGTCTATCACCCCTTGGCGCTCCACCTTCTTTTTCAGACATACTCGTTATCTCATTGAAGTCACCGAACATAATACATGGCAAGGTACACTCGGCTTTAAGAGAAGACATCAGGGACCAAGTGCTTAATTAATTGTTTCGGCCAACCATAAATACCAATTTCTCTCCATGAAGCACAATTATTATTATCCAACACATCAATAGCAAAATGATGAATAGAGAAAGACACAACATTCACTTTCACATCCTTCCACCACATCCCCATACTACCCGACTTACCAATACTACTAATACAAACACCATAAATGTAGCCACATTTATTTTTTTATTTTATTTAAAAGTTTTTCATCAACCATAGTTTCCATTACAAATACTATATTTGGCCTATCCTTCCAGCAACGATCTTGAAGGGCCATAATTGTCCACGGGTTTCTAATCCCGTGACAGTTCCAGCTTAATATTTTCATTGTTTTTTGAGGGCTTGGGCATTCCAAGACCCTCTACTTTAGAAATAGAAACAAAAGAAGAGACACCACTCGCACTAGTTTTTACATTTTTCTTTGAGATGTTGGCAGGAGCATATTGATTATCAACAAACACGACACCTACACTTCTTTTCTTGGAGGCGTTTTCAAGCACACCACTCTCTGATGTGTCCATGTCAGCCGCACCATCTTGTCTATCACTCGTGCCCAAATTCTTGATACTAGAAGAAGTCTTCGGCCCTTCCTTAATGCTCTTTCACCTTTCAGCAACCCCAACCTCCCTTACAACATCTTCTGAGATCATACTCGAGTAATTACCAGGGACTAGGGAGTCATTAACAGCCTTATTCGTGTTCTGCTCCGTCAGTGCTCTTGGTCGAAGGACCAGCTTATCCCCTTCCTTATCCACAACAGCCACCAAAGAAATCGCTCGAGCTTTTGGAGTAGCTGCATTACACGCATCAGGAGACAAGAAGAGGAGCTTTCTCGCAACCCCAGGGGGTCCCAGCCGTATATCAGAGGGGTCATTATACTCAGACTTGGAGATTCTACCCTTCGAGGATAGGTTCTCAACCCATTTTTTCTCCTTCTCACGATCACTTGCTGAGATTTTGGGACGGTACGGGGAGGCAAACAAAAACGGTCCGTAGTGAAACACCATAGGCGACTCATCATCACAATTATCCTTCTCCATACAGTCCTTATCAATGTGACCCATCCTACCACAGTAATAGCAAAAATCACCGAGTCGTTCGTATTTGAAACCGACCCATTTTGTTACACTAGATTCCATAGCAATCTTCAATCCCCTGCTGTAGACACCCAAATGTGTCTCCCCAAAACCAAACCCAGTGATGAATACCTTTTACTTTATTTGATTATCGAACAAAGTGAAAGCGTGAAAAGTCTAGTGATGTGGATTTTTTTTATTAAAATATCTCTCTTTCTGTTTTCAAAAATATTTCTTTTCTTACTCTATTTATGAAAATAGCTAGTCCAATTCAGCTTGGTCCATTATAAGGGTTTAATAATAGTGTAGTTGGATTAGGCTCGAAAAGAGCTTTCCAGCGATATATTATAAGCCCAATTCCGATGAATAATGAGGAAGTTATGGATCAAATTAAATTAGGCCCAAGTGATTTTATGTGTGGCCCAATGATCTAGAGGAGGGCCTATTAATTATTATTAGGATTGATTTTAGTCTTCTAGAAATATCTAGAAGGTTAACCAATTTAGTCTGCAAATATTTAGGCTGTAATCTTGGTAGTAGTTGCCTAATTTACAGGATACTTTTGTGTATAAATATTTGTACTATCACAAGCAATAAACACACAAAAAAAATTACAAACCCTATTCCGCGTTATTTTTCTCTATATGGTATCAGAGCCAGGTTCGATTTGGGAAACGAAACCTTGTTTTTCCTCATCATTTATCGGAGAACTTACCTGCGATGGACGAACAACCACCAAACAACCAGTTAATTTCCATGGAACAAATGGAACAAATGTTCCAATTATTCCAGAAAATGAACAAAACACAAAATAATCCAGAATCCGACACATCACAAACAGTGCGTGTGGCCGAAAAATTAACCTTCACAAATTACACAAAATGGTGTAAACTGATGCAAATAGCAATTGGTGGTCGGGGAAGGCTCAATCACATCACTGCCAACCCCGTACCATTGGACGATCCGGAGTACACACAATGGGCACAACGGGACTCATTAGTTCTCTCCTGGATCATCGAAAACATCGATGGAGATCTAGTGAACCAATTTCTAGATTATAAATATGCTCGAGATCTATGGAAGGGCATTGAAACCTTACTCAGTAGTGGGAGGGACGAATTATAGACCTTTGATCTGAACACAAAGGCTGCATCTTTGAAGCAGGGAAACGAAAAGTTAGAGGTGTATTTCAGTAAACTGAATACCCTCTGGAAAGAGATTGATAGGAGAATGCCAAATCCAATGCAGTGCCCAGAAGATATCACTCTCTTTAATTCGTTTATACAGAGGCAAAAGATTATACCAATTTTTGGCTGGTGTAAACGACTCACTGGACAAAGAGAAGAGGGACTTACTGAATCACGACCCTCTTCCATCAATTGACGCAGTATACGCGTTCATTAGACGAGAAATTGCCCGTCGCGGGATAATGACCGGCGTTTCATCATCAGGACAAAATCCCTCAGAAATTGGAAGCAGGCTCGTTGCTAATCGCCGGTCGGAATCCTCATTCCGGCGAGAAGACATAACCCACCTAAAATGTACCCATTGTGGAGGAACGAAACACACCAAGAAAGGGTGTTTCGAAATTATCGGGTATCCAGAATGGTGGGAGGAGTACACGAAGAAGAAGGCCGCCACCAAGGCCGGAGCCGGCGGCAAGGCCAGTGTCGCCGTGTACTCGAACCCAGAAAGCACCGGATCCGGCAACATTTCAGACAACATCTCAGACAACACAGGAATTTCGGGCATGAGAGAAGAAGAAAATGTCACCGATAAAAATGGTGGTAAGGACAGTATGGAGCAGAGTATGGAAAGTGAGATTCAGAAAATAGAAAGTGAGGATGAAAGAAGGAAAGAGGATGAAATCCTCTTACATATGTCGGCTAGGAGAAGTGAGGAAAGGGAAGAAAACTTAGCCCACAAAACTCACTCTCTCAATCTTCCTCTAACCGGTCCCATTTGTTTGGAAGCCCAAACCGAAAACTTACAGCCCAATGACTTAAGCCCGAAACCTCTTGGCTTTGTTTGTAATAAAATCACTCCATGGATTTTTGACTGCGGAGCCACTGACACTATGACGAGTGATCCATCAGATATTAAAGCCACCCAAACCTCTCACCGAAACCAAATCCAAACAGCAAATGGGGAATATATTCCTGTTACCTAGACTGGGATTATTGATGTTACTTCAGATATACATTTAAATAATTGTCTTTTAATTCCCAGTCTTACTCATAAGCTTTTATCTGTGAGTCAGTTGACTAAAGAGCTTAATTGTACTGTCTTATTAACGGATTCTGGTTGTATTGTGCAGGATGCTCTAACAGGACAGATCATTGGGTGTGGTACTGAACGAGGGGGTTTTTACTATGTGGATGAGGAGGCTCAACAGGGTAACGCTTTGCTTGCTCATGGATCACCGGAAAGCCAACTTTGGATGTGGCATCGTCGGCTAGGTCACCCCTCTCTTGGTTACCTAAAACGTTTATTTCCCTCTTTTAAAAATATTGATGTAGCATTGAACTGTGAAGCATGTGTCTTAGCTAAGAGTCATAAACATACTTATCATCCTAGTTTAAGTCATGCCTCTGAACCTTTTGTTTTGATTCATTCCGATGTCTGGGGCCCAGCGCCTGAATTTGTGTTCCATAACTATTCTTATTTTGTTTTATTTGTGGATGATTGTACTCGTATGAGTTGGGTTTATTTCTTAAAACATAAATCTGAAGTGTTTGATGTCTTTGTTAAATTTTATCATATGATATGCACTCAGTTTCATGCTCACCCACAAATTTTACGATCGGACAATGGGGGGGAATATATAACCTTAGATATGGAACAATTCATTATTAACCATGGTCTGATTCACCAAACCACATGCCCAGACACTCCCCAACAAAATGGAATTGCCGAACGGAAAAATCAAACCCTTCTTGAAAAAACCAGAGCTATCATGTTAGAATCCCATGTCCCGGTCTATTTTTGGCCAGAAGCCATTGCTACTTCCACCTATCTCACAAACCGACTTCCTAGTAAACCGCTTGACTACCAAACACCTCTTGACACCTTATCCTCTCATGTCACCATCCCATCAGTCCATTCTTTACCTCCACGAGTCTTTGGGTGCGTTGTCTATGTTCATTTACCAAAACGGGCTCGAAATAAACTCGAACCTAGGGCAATTAAATGTGTCTTTATTGGGTATGGGGTTTATCAAAAAGGGTACCGTTGTTATGATCCAATTCAAAAAAGGGTCTACACCACCTTAGACTGTGAGTTCTTTAAACAAACTTACTATTACACCCAGCTAGGTCCTCAGGGGGAGAATTTGAGTGATGACCTTAGCTGGTTGACATATCCAAAAATGGTGGACCCAGATCCTACAACACAAGTAGGCAATACCACCGATGCTACCCCAGAAGCAGTAGTCCCACTTCCTCTTCAGTCTCCACCAGATCCGCCAAATGAGCATCCATCTGATGACATTCCATCATCAGAAGAGGTACCATCTGAAAGCTCTCCTGTTTCCTACAATATGCCTGAAATTAATCCTGTCTCCAATGAAAGTGAACAAAACAGGTATGAGTTACCTCCTAGAAGTACGAGAGGAGTTCCACCAAGGAGATATGATCCTGAATATGAGGACCAACGGTCGAGATATCCAATCGAAAGAATCAGCACTGAAAGTCTGTCCAGCACAGCCATAGCTTTCAATGCCTCTTTATACTCCGCAGACATTCCAAAGAATGTGGAGGAAGCTGTCAAGAATGAAAAATGGAAGCAGGCTATGGAAGAAGAGTATCAGGCCCTATAGAAAAACAAGA